TTAATGGGCTGGGGCTGGACCACGGCAGAGAAAATACAATGGCCTGATGTGCCATGCTGGGGTCATGGTCCAGACGAAGTTAGGAGGAAGTATCTGAGAGCTGGCGCTCGGCCTCTGCAATTTAGAGGTCAGTGAGCCAGACGACAACAGCATCACTGTTATCCGCATGCTTAATAAAAAAGTCAGGGTTAGACCTAAGCGAACGGAGTGCAGTCATTTCAGGAGGAGATAGGTTGGATTTGGCGAGGTGGGGAGAAAAATTGAGGAGATCAATATCATGTTGACAGTTCTCAATGAACAGATCGAGTACAGATAAAAGGGCAGAGGGAGGGGTCCAAGTGGAGGGAGAGTGTTGGAACTGAGTGAAGGGGTCTGTGAGATGAGGAGAAGATTCTTTTCCAAAGAAATGGACACAGAGGTGAAAATGGGGGAAGAAGAGTTTGATGTCATGTCGTGCCCGAATTTCGTTAAGGTGGGAATGCAGAAGAATAATGCTGAGACCTTTATTAAGTACAGAACGTTCAGTATTGGAGAATGGAAAGTCAGGTGGGATTGTGAATACCCAACAGGAGGTGGGGTTGGGAGAGGGGATGGAGTCAGAGAGAAGGCGAGGGAAGGGGGGTTCAAGAGGGCCATGGGTATCTTTGACTTTTGCATCTTGTGGGCTTTTATGCCTGAAAGGAAATGTTTCTTGTTAGCATGGCGAATAAGCCAGAGGATGAAGTGGAACTGCGGAGTGGCCAGCCCTGAGCCAGCGTGTTGCGATGCTGTTGGAGAGAGAGGTCGAGAGTGTGCATGTGATGCTGCATGGCACAGAATGTGGATCTCAGGATATGGCGGGAGCAGCTGTTCTATGGAACATTGAATGTCACAGAAATACCTGTGATCCTGGGAGGATTCAAAACATGAGGGATGAAACTTGAGTTGGAATCCACGTGGAATGAGTCTGAGCCAGAGGCAGTCACTGAGGAATGTTAGAGATAGTAGGAACTGCAGATGCTGGAGAATCCGAGACAACAAGGTGCAGGGCTGGATGAACACAGCAGGCCGAGCAGCATCATAGGAGCAGAGAGGCTGACGTTTCGGGCCTAGACCTTCATCTGAGGAATGTTGTATGTCTGTGAAAATGACTTTCAGTAAATACTTGGTTAATCACCAGGAATATTGCATGTTTTGAAAAGCATGAAGGTAGACAAGTCACGAGGACCTAAGCGGTTCACTCCCAAAATAATAAGGGATGTGAGGGGGGGAAATTGTTGGGACCTTGTACAAATTCTTTGTATCCTGTTTAGTTACAGGCAAGGTCCCGGAGGGCTGGAGAACAGCCAATGTTGTTTCTTTGTTTAAGAAGGGCAACAAGGATAATCAGGGAAATCACAGGCCGGAGAGTCTTACATCAATGGTGGGGAAATGAAGATTCCTAGGGAAAGGATGCACTCACGTTTGGAGAAATTTGGACTTATTAGCGGTCGGCTTTGTGTGGGGGAGGTCAGGTCTCACCAAAATTGATTGAGTTTTTGACAAAGTGACAATTGATGAGGGCAGAGGAAGTTGTCAACATGGATGTTAGTAAGGCCTTTGACAAGGTCCCTGACGGCAGGCTGATACAAAGGTGAACTGCCATTGTTACATGGTCTGGCCTAAATGTGACTCCAGAACCACAACAATCTGTTTGCCTCTTAACTGGACAACAAATGCTGGCCTTGTCAGTGGTGCCCTGGTCTCATGAATGAATTAGAAAAAAGTTTTGCACTGGGTCCCCAGCCCCTCTGTTCCCCTCTCTTCTCCTCAACCTTAGTCAAAAGTATTGAAAAATATTCCAACCACTTTTAAGTTCTGCAGACATGAAATGGTAACTGTTCTTCTGTCTCTACAAATGCTGCCATATCTGCCGAATTTCTCCAACATTCTGTGTTTGTTGCTAAAAGTTTAGCCTGTGCCTACTTTAGAGGTTGAGGTGAATCCCCACTTAACACCCAAGTTCTGCATATAATCAGTTATAAACAACATGTCTGACCTATTCAGTCTATTCATCTGTTTTATGTAATAGTTATTGGTGTTTATAGATCAATCAGTTATTGGTTTGGACCTATCCCTGGTCTCAATGAAGACTTTTCATTCTGCTTTTACAAAGAGAGGTCTCCCAGAAATGTAACGAGTAACATTCTCCTCACTGCTGCCCTCACACTTTGTAATATAACAACAGACATTGCAATATATTATAGTGAGATCTGATTGCATTTATAGGACCAGCTAAAAGCACCTTTGGATTCCATGGAGGAGGAAAAGAAAAGGAAGAGTGAATTAAAACAACAGCAGGAGGGGAAGATTTCAGAACTGGATGTGAGTATGATTTTGGTTCCCCTTAAACACAGTAAACCTTTAGCAACCTGCTGTTTCAATGATTTCTCTCACCATCTCAGGAACTCTCTGTGTCGCTGGAACAAGACATCTCCACCCAGTTCGCTAAAATCCGCCAATATCTTGATGAGAAAGAGAAACATTTAATGGAAAGGCTGAGGAAACAAAAGCAGGTGGATCTGCGACTGATGGAAGAAAATATGAAAAAAATCGAAGTGGAAGTCGTGTCACTTGACGAAAAGATAGGGAACCTTCGTGTAGACATTGAGCAGCAAGATGGAATCGCTTTTCTCAAGGTGATCCTTTATACCCAATCCCCAAGCTGTAAACAGTGCTTTATAATTGAGCTCAAACTCCATAACTGAGGACATCTAGGATTGAGAATATTGTCACATACTGTCAGTACATCACACTGCTGGCAGTATAACTGCAGGGAAGGAAGTGGGAGGGCAGACGCGACCTGCATCAACATCAAACTGCGATTTGAGAGACTGAGTAGATTGGGATTATATTCATTGGAATTCAGAAGATTGAGGGGGGATCTTATAGAAACATATAAAATTATGAAGGGAATATATAAGAAAGAAGTAGAGAAGATGTTTCCACTGGCAGGTGAAGCTAGGACAAGAGGGCATAGCCTCAAGATTAGAGGGAGCAGATTTAGGACTGAATTGAGACGGAATTTCTTCACCCAGAGGGTTGTTAATCTATGGAATTCCTTGCCCAGTGAAGTAGTTGACGCTACTTCAGTAAACGTTTTTTAAAAAAAGGTAGATTTTTTTTGAACAATAAAGGAATTAAGGGATATGGTGAGAACGCGGGTAAGTGGATCTGAGTCCATGAAAAGATCAGCCATGATCTTGTTGAATGGCGGAGCAGGCTCGAAGGGCCAGACGGCCTACTCCTGCTCCTAGTTCTTATGTTCTTATGTTCTTGATGCAGCAATCGACAATCCTTCAGAGTAGAAGGTGGTAATGGTGGTGACAGTGGGTGAGGTTGAGGGGGGACGGGAGAAGATCAGAGGAAGTGAGACCCAAACATGGAAAGGTGGAAACTCTTCTCACGATGCTGAAGAAGGTGTAATTGTCAACAGTTCAGGGCTACGCAGACTAGAGGCAACCTCTGAGTCACTGAACAAATAGGAACCAGAAATAAAAGGATCTGATCAGTGACCCTTCAGCAATAGAAGTCCTGTTGAGTGTGTCTGTTACAGTGTGGGGGTGTTGAGGTGGTCCACAGTGACTGACGTCATATTGCATTACTGGAACCTGAGAAAATTTCCTCTACCTTGCTTTACATTTAACTGAGAGTGCCCCTTGTATATAGAGCATATTCTAAACATAATAACATATTTCTGTTTCTCTGTTCTACAGGAACTACAACGTTTGAGAGAAAGGCAAGTATCCAAACCAAACCCTCATGCGATTTTACTCTGTGATCCCAGTTTGTATCCAGCAGCAAGTGACTATATCAATTCCATTTAAACAGGTACCTGGACAAAGGGGAGGAAGGAGAAAATGGAGAAGAAGATTCACAAAGCCGTGAAGATGAAAAAATACTGACACTTCCAAGAAGGAAGTATTTGGACTTCCAAGGCCCGTTACTCTACATAACGTGGAAGCAAATGAAACAGATCATCTCTCCAGGTTTGATTTGTTTTGAATTATTGTTGTCACATGGACCTAAGTACAGTGATAAGTTTTGCTTTGTGAGCAGTACAGGCAGATCTTAGCAAACAAAGACTCACAAATCGTAGTGTGCTTAGACAGAATGAGACACATATGTTACAACTGCACAGGAGGTGCACAAAGCAAGAACAACATTAGATTTGAAATTCGGGTGGTCCATTCAGCAGTCTAATAACAGCAGAGAAGGAACTGTTCTTGAAAATATTGGTACGTGTGTTCAAGCTTCTGTATCTTCTGCTTGTCAGAAGTTGTAGGAGAGCATTACTGGGGGTGGGAGGGGTCATTAATGATGTTGGCAGCCTTTCCATGGCAACAAGAAGATTAGATGAAGTCCATGGATGGGAAGTTGGCTTTCGTGATGGTCTGGGCTGTGTTCACAACTTTCTTATGGTCCTGGTCAGAGTAGTTGCCGTATCAGGCCGGTATGCGTTCGGATAGAATGCTTTGTATGGTGTATCTGCAAAAGTTGGTGAAGGTGCTTATGGACATGCCAAACTTCTTAAGCCACCTGAGGAAGAAGAGACATTGTTGTGCCTTCTTCACCGTCGCATCTACGTGGGTGGTCTAGGAGAGATTATTGGCTATCATGACTCCCAGGAAATACATGCTCTCCACTGTCTCTACTTCAGCTCTGCTGATGTAAATAGGGATGTGTCCTCCTCCTTTCTTCCTGAAGTCAGTGATCAGTTCTTTTGTTTTGCCTACATTGAGTGTAAGAAACTCTACAGCATTGTGTCCAATCTCTTGGAGAGTTTGCTTCTTCGCACTCTCATAACTGCTGCCTTTTATTAACAGTAGTGGGCATCAGCCTTTGAAATCTCACTTAAGGGACAATTGTGTAAGTGACGCAGGCATGAAGGAATCTTGGCATCATCTTACTTGATATTTAGACACAGACTTACCTCTAAGTCTGACTGGACAGTGATCAGACTTTGGACTGCTGGCTGACTGTGTTCCTCTCTGACCCAGGAATCCAAACATTGAACATAACAACAAGAGGAAGCCCATTTTACCTCACTTAAGCCTGTTTAGCCATTCAATATGAGTGTGGCTGACCTTGCATCAAATTATGTACTTGTCCCATCTCTACATAAACCTTAAGGTTAAACATGAGCTGTCAATCTCAGCTTTAAAATTAGAAATGAGACTTGATTTGACATAGACCATTGCAAATAATTTTCACTTTAGAATATGATCCCTTTCTGTTATAATATAATTTTCATTGTTGGGCTTCATCAAAGTGAGAGATAAGCAGCCCCCTGAGATATCCAAAAGATGGAAGAATTTTCAATCACCAAGTGTTGCTCATCTCTCACAAACTACTGACTCCTTGATTGCAGGCAGTACCAGAGACACTTGAAATGTGATGTTGAGGATAGCAGCCAAGAGTGACAAGAGTCCGACTGAACAAAATGTGCAGGGAATGTGCCCATGTCTGCCCTGTGACAATGTTAGAAATAAAGACCAATTAATTAAACAAAAAGGTCTGTTTGTAGATATTTGTGATTGGTCTGTTCAGAGATGTTATGAGACATCTCAGCTGTAGGTGGGCTTGAACCTTGAGCTTCTGGCACAAAGGTTGGGAGACAGTCCCACCAGAATCCTGTGCAGGTCCCTTTAAGGCTTCAGAATTGATGGAGAGAAGATAATGCGTTGAAGCTTTGATCCATCAAGGCACAGTGGTAGTGGTCCTGCTTGTAAGTCAGGAGGCCTGGGTTCAAGTCACACCCACTTCAGAGGTGTGTCATATCTGGACGGGTCGATTAAGGAAGAGAAAAGCTTGGCTCCATACAAGGGCCCTTGAGGTGTAATGGAAGCATTCTTTCATTACTGTATACTGTACCTACTCTGTAATACTTACTAATGCTGAATTTATGGACAGGATATGATTCCAGTTTTGTAGACATCAGGGAGTAATTTGTGTCCATCCATGTTCCTCAGTAAAATATTTAACATGATGTTTATTTTACTTTGCCAGTTCCAGCCTCACTGACCCTGGATCCAAACACAGCACATTGTAAGCTCTTCCTGTCGAAAGATCTGACCAGAGTGAGAACCAGTGACAGCATGGTAGAGCTTCCTAACAATCCGCAGAGATTTGACGCAATTCCATGTGTGCTGGGATCACAGGGGTTCACGTCAGGGAAACACTACTGGGAGGTGGAGGTGGGGAACAAGACTGATTGGGTATTGGGTGTGGCTGGAGAATCATCCAATAGGAAAGGAAACTTGTCCCTCGGACCGGAATACGGTTACTGGACTGTGTGGCTTAACAGTCGAAAAAAATATATAGCTACTGATCGCATGTTTGTCCAACTGACTCCGAGTGTGAAGCCTGGGACCATTGGAGTTTACTTGGACTATGAAGGAGGACAGGTGAGCTTTTACAATGCTGACAATATGTCCATTCTCTACATGTTCACTGACACATTCACTGAGAAACTCTTTCCTTTCTTCTGTCCTGGATTGTGTGAGGGTACAAGTTGTGCTCCTCTTGTACTGCGTCATATTGAACTGTAGAAGTAAATTATAGATAGGCTCAAAGTGTGGGGAGAATGTGACCACAGCTGGGTGAATATTCCACATATCACAAGTAACTATTGAGGTTCATCTAGAAACAGCACCAAGAAAAGGAACAAAAACCAAGAACATTGGCTTTGCAGCCCTGACGTGTTAGAGTATGAGGTCTAAAACAAGCAAAGAAACCTTCCATTACCACCTATGTCCATCCCATAGCTGCCAAATTAGTATTCTTCTATGCTAAACATTGCTTTGGTGGCAAGTGTACAGTATACACTCTGGATGAGGAACTTCAATGCCAATCACCTACAGCTCAGCAGCACCACTCTTGACCTGTGCTGACTATACCCTGAAGGACTATCTGCAGGTGCGGCTGTTGCAGATGTATCTGTTCATAAAATAGTTGTTTTGACGGCTGCACAGACCTAGTCTTTACAGTGAGAGTACTGCTCATAGTTCTATGGCACTACAACTAAACATTCAGAACAAATCTGGAAACTCAACGTTGTGGATAGTTGAGGTGCTGTGGGCCATCAGCATCTGCAAAATTGTATTTGACCACAATCTATTACTTCATGGGCATATGCTAGGATAGGCTAAAGGCATGTCGCAAAGTGAGGTTCTAGCCTAGTGAAGCTACAACAACAAAAGAAGCAGAAGTTGCCTGAAAAGCTCAGCAGGTCTGGCAGCATCCATGAAGAAAAATCTGAGTTAACGTTTCGGTTCCAGTGACGCTTCATCAGACCTGAAACAATACTCAATTTATTGTTTAACAATCAGACCGCTGTTTAATTCTTTGGAAATGTCAAGTAATAAGAGTAATTAATTAATTACCCTGATATATTCTGAATTGTAATCAGTGCAGGACATTAATAATAATAAAATAACTAACTTATGTTCTAGTTTTAAGGCTGTTTGGAATTTTTAAATTATATTCTTGCTATTTTAACTAACTTGCGCCAAACACCAGCAGTCACTCCAGAACTTCACAAGAAAAAGCAGTTTTCATAGTAACAGCAAACAAATTCTGAGTTTGGTACAGCGTAGGGGCCAATAAACAGAAGCATTCCTATCCAAGAAGTTTTAACAGTGCCCAGGGGTGGAGAACCTGATCAGTGGCTCACTATAGAAGCAGGAGCTACAGCCCAAGGATACAGTCACCAATTGCTGATTTATAACTGTACAGTTAGGCCATATTCATAAGTCAAGTTCTGTCCTTTTTGTGTCTTGAATGCAAGCCCCTTCTCTCCTGAACGGCATGTGTTGAGCTTCATCAGTTAGTGTTGGAAGGCTGGTCAATTGTTGGATGCATCTTTGGCATTCAATGACCAAAATCTGGAATTAGATGCTCTTTGAGTATTAGCCCAATGGTGACACATTCAATAATAATCCATTGGGTTCACTGATGTGTTTTAGGGAGGGAAATCCTAATCTGCCTTCGATGTGACTCCAGAATCACATCAATTAAAACATGGTATAAATAGTTAGCTCTCAAAGTGATGGGGATGGGAAGCTGACACACATTTAGGAACCTGCCTTCTGTGGTCTGTGCCTCCATAAGATTCATGTGCAAAGTATCAGGCAAATGAAGAGATATTTAAAATTACGAGAATAAAAAAAACTCCATAAGGTAACACACATAAAAGGTCAGTCTTTTGGCCATTAAACCAAAGTTAAGTCACAACAGAGATCTGGCCTGGGAGGTGGCGTGGAAATGTATCCACCTATATTTATTGGAAAATGGATTTCAGAGAGGTTGCAAACACACTACAATGGATGTGTGATGGTGGCTCGAGGATACCAACCATGACAGCAGACTTAATGGCAGAAGCAGCAGTAGTATGATACATCAATCTACAATAAATGCCCATGAATATTCATATAGAGTGATACTTTGCTGCTGTGATTTCATTAACGTCTGGGGTCATGTTAAATTTCCTTGTGTTAAAATGGGGTCACACTGGGAAACAGTACTGTAGTAGAGAGATGACACCAAACCAGCTATTTTTGCAGCAAGTGGTTAGCGCTGCTGCCTCACAGCGCCAGGGGCCAGAGTTCGATTCTACCCTCAGGCGACTGTGTGTGTGTGGAGTTTGCACATTCTCCCCGTGTCTGCATGGGTTTCCTCTAGATGCTCCGGGTTTCCTCCCACAGTCCAATGATGTGCAGGCTCGGTGAATTGGCCATGCTAAATTGCCCATCGTGTTCAGGGATGTGTAGGTTAGTTGGGTTATAGGGGGATGTGTCTGGGTGGGATGCTCCGAGGGTCGGTGTTGACTTGTTGAGCCGAAGGGCCTGTTTCCACACTGTAAGGATTCTAAGATTCAATTAGTGCTGAATTTGTGTCACAACCCAATGAAGATACCAGGAATTTTTTTTATTGGACTAACGTTCCATTGGCCACAGACAGTTTGGCAGTTTACACAAATCTCTGTTTGATATCACTGATTGTCCTGTATACAGCAATAGCCAGCCGTTCCCACAACTCGAATAGGAATTAGACTTAAAACAACAAATTCAGCCTTCACTTGAAAAGAAAAGGAGCCTTTATTGTACAGAAAGCACTCTCTAGATGAGCTTCACTACATTGTTAAAAAGTGTGATCAATTCACAATCACATCGGACCTTTCACACACTAAAGAAGTTAATTCTAACGGTGGTATACGTAGAGCTATCTCAACATTGTTGGAAAAATGCTTGTGGATCCAAAAAGACCTTATGTATTATTCAAAATTTTATTCACGTGAGAATCAATCAGGTACATTGATCAGCAAGAACTAGCCATTGCACAGAGATCTGAGAAAAATCTCAACAATTTAGACTCAACTGCCTGGCAAGAAAAGCAATGAAGGCAAATGAAGGCACAGAGAATGCCAGAAATTCAGAAGAACTGGTCAGCTGAAGATAAAAGCAAAAATAATGCAGATGCAGAGCTGAAATTAAAACAGAAGGTGCTGGAGAAACTCAGCAGGTTTGACAGCATGTGAGGAGAGAAATAGAGTTAACATTTGGAGTCCAATGATCTCCTTTGTAACACACTCTGAAGAACTGAGTTCTGAAGAAGAGTCATATTGGATTCAAAACGTTAACTGTTTCTCTCTTTCTCTACAGATGCTACCAAGCCTGTTGAATTTCCCCAACACTTTCTGCCTTTAGGTCAGAAATTGAAAGTGAAGAAAGGGAGAACGAGAAAGTAGAAAAGGAGTATGAAGGTATGAGGGAAGGGAGAGACTGCACAAGGGAGAAAGGAAGCAAGAGAAAAGAAGATGGAAGCGACAGAGAGAGAAAGATCAAAGGGATGGAGAGATCGAGAGGGGATGAGTGAGTGAGAGACAGGGAGGGAGAGAGTGAATGAGAGAGAGTGGGGAGCGAGAGAGCAAACAATGCAGTGTTTGTCCCCTTAGGACAGGCACAAGTGATGGTTGGGAATCTGTAATCCGATTTAGCAGTGAAGTCGGAATCCTCAATCCTTGACCGAGAATTGAACATACTGTAAACTGAGTTGACACCGAACTTGAGTGTCCATTCTTAAGTAATTTTATAAAATAGTTTCTATTGATCCCAATTGAGAAAGAATCTGTCGAATGCGATGAAGGGTTAAACAAGGGCTAACTGCCATAATCTCTCTGCTCTTTACAGGCACTGCATGCCTCCTAACTTTTCAGTTTTTACCTAAAGGATGTTTTAAACCTCTGATTTCTCATACTGACCTGATAAGGTCACTGCAAAGAATATTGCATGATCCCTACTGATCAGGAAAGTCCCAAACTCCATTTATGGCCTTGCAATAAATGGGTTGTCTTTAACCAGTAAACCCACTTTTTCTTTTGGGGAGTGGTTTAATCATTTGTAAGTAACGACAGGCTGGCATGAGGGTAGGAAGAAATCAGTTACCTCACTGCCCAACAATCCCTGCTGATCTCATGAGGGGCTGAATGGCTTTATACTGTTCCTGCTTCAGTCACAGGCATTATCAGATGGCACCCTCTCCATTCATCCATCCAGACGTGTATCCAGGCCACTTAGCGATGATAGGTGCTTGTGACTAGAAATAAGGAAGTGTTAGTACCTGTGAAACAGTTTGGACAAATCTATCTTGCCCATCAATGCTCTTGTCAGAAACTTACCAATGGTATAGGAACACTGTCAACTTCAACAAGGCTCTCTGCCCACTCGCTCTGCAAATGCTGCTTTTTGGGGATTAAAAATACGCTGCTCTCGTCTCCTTCCTCTCACGTTACATTTAGACTCTCATCCTTTGGGAGTTAAACACCTTACCAATGGGAACAAACTGGCAATTCCCTTCACAAATCTTGGCAGGTTTCACCAGGATCGCCACAAAATCTCTTGCTTGTTCACAGCATGCTTAATTCAACTGACCTTCAGGCCTACAAATGAATTAACTTCACAGTCAAACCAAAGGCCCAGTGAGCTAGCTCGTGTGCAGTGGTGATCACGGGTGAGTGTGTCTGCGGGTGAGTATATGTATCTGATACATCTGTACACATTCTGAAGCTGGATCCGAGTAAGGGCAATCCATCCTGGTGAACGTGAAGAGTTTCTCTTGTCCTACATGGGCTGGGTTTACGATCAGTTCTGATTTGTATTGTCAACCTCAACTGGCATGTTGTTGGGTGTTGGTGATCTCTCTTCTGGATGAGTCACTGAAAATAAAGCAGCAAACTCCCATGAGTAATGTTAGAGGTCAAATATATTAACAAAAACAACTTGTAGATACATTCAGCTACAAACATTAATAATGGTCAAGCATGGTGACAGGGTAAAGGGGCACTTAGCAACTAGCAGTACAAAGCGTGCATGGCACTGGTGGCAAAAAGCATGATAACAAATAGTGATATAGTCCATGACAATACCTGGCAACAAGAGGCCACAACCAGTGACGGTGCGCACATGTGGCAACAATTGATAATGTTGGACGTGGCAAATAAAGGACAATAAGAGGACATGGTAGTAACCAGTGACAGATGGCTCATGCAACACAATGGGCAACACAACAAACAATGACGGAAAATGCAATAGCAACAGAGGCCATGGGTGGCATTAAGCGAAGACCATGGATTTTCACAATAATACATTATGTAATAAAGCCTCTGTTTTCCTTTGTGATGTCTTTTGATACAAATGAATTTGGCTCACCCTCATAATTTTTCTCTTCTCGGAGTCTGATTTATTAACTATCTCCCTCCTTCCTATCTTAAATGTCCATATCACTTTTATCTTCTCATGTCATTTCCCTGCTAATAACAGCGGCAAAAATCATTATTTAATATTCGAGATAGTAGGAACTGCAGATGCTGGAGAGACAACAAGGTGCAGGGCTGGATGAACACAGCAGGCCAAGCAGCATCATAGGAGCAGAGAGGCTGACGTTTCGGGCCTAGACCCTTCATCAGAAAAGGGGGAGGGGAAGGGGGTTCTGAAACAAATAGGGAGAGAGTGGGAGGTGGATAGAAGGTGGATAGAGGAGAGGATAGGTGGAGAGGAAACAAACAGGTCAAAGAGGCGGGGATGGAGCCAGTAAAGGTGAGTGTAGGTGGGGAGTTAGGAAGGGGATAGGTCAGTCCAGGGAGGA